GAAGAATTGACTTATGTAGCCACGACCTGAACGAATACCGCCTAGCTCCTCACTTTTCCATTCCCACGTTTTATAGTAGCTTACCAAGGATAAATCATGCTAAAATTTAGTTTTAGTATGTACAACCATTAACCATGCATTTTCATGCGTCGGTTTTAGCTGCCTATTTGGATGAAACAGTAAGAGGAAAACAAGAAAGTTGAAAGACGAGTCGAAAATAAAATGGAAAATTTCGGTGAACTAAGGATGCAAACAAATTGAGAGGATGCTCGAACGCCGCTGTGTTCGACACTCACGTAACTGAAATGTAGCTGTCCTCTTTGTGATTTCTTCCGGTGACGCGCTACCCATTTTAGTGCTGTATCCAGAGAAAACCTTTTCATTCTTTTTGAAACAAAGTGCTTACTACTGTTACTAATTCACTTCGTCCATCAGAAATCTCGTCAAATCCCCAAAAAGCTGAAATGTCGACTATCTGGTAATGGTATACCTACACAAGGACTCAGATTGTCTTTGGCTGGAGACACATCGAACCGAAGTCAGTGGTGTGTATGCACCCTTTCCGGCGTGCGGTAAACAAGCAAAAACGTTAACCCCAAAGTCGACTGCTTTTTTCACTCCTTTCTCGGTTTCTATATTTGCGTTCAACTCATGGCCATTTTGGCGCGATATCTGTGAAGATTGTTGTTATATCTGTATTTCCTATGGTTCCTTGCATTCATATTCCAGTATACCTGCTGATTTCATCTCATCCTTAGGCTCCTGTTTTAACCCTCCGACAGACCACAGCACCACGTGGTCGTTCCTGCAAACCTGTGCTCCATCGTCAACGAGCGCGTTCGACAGTCTTCAAATCAGAACGGAAACTGCTCCGTCGGGTTTCCTCGTCCTCTTCAAACAGTGCTCCCCAACAGAATTCTCTTCCTGTGGATGATGATTTGCGCAAACCGCTGCAGCTCCGAGAATTAACCACTTCGTCCTTGACGCCGGATCTGAGTGATGTCCTATCCCATATTGAGTCACCAGGTCCTTTATCTGCCACCACCAGCCTGGAGCCGTATGAGTTTTCAAACCATTCCACAGACATGGCACTTTCTACCACTGAGAGCCCGACCACCCGTGGTCGTACTGGAGATCCGCCGTACGAGCATCAGTTTGGTCCCCTCGATGTGGTTTGGGCTAAGTGTCGTGGCTCTCCATGGTATCCCGCTCTGGTGAGTTTCACTAGAAGAACGAGAGAGCTTGATTTTCTTCATTATTCGCTTGGAAGTGGTCGGTCACTTGACCCCTGATCACAACCTCCTGAGTTGTTTAATGCTAAGTTTTAGGGCAGTGTGCCATATTATATCGCAATAAAGGTAAGGTTTATTGTGCAGTTCGATTCTTAAACAGCCANCGGTCTCATTCCACATGCCGTGACTTTTGGGAGTGTAGATAGAGCAAACCTATGTATTCGTCTCCCAATCTTCCAGTTCTTCTTACTGAAAATACATGTGTGCAGTCACTGCTAACCAAGGATAAAGCGACCAGTCCAAGGGTTGTCCTTTGAGAAACCAGTGGGGTATTTGGTGAAGTTGGGATTGTGCGGAGAGATCAAGTCTTATAAAAATAGATTGTTTTTGTCTCTTTCTGTTGTTTACCCGCCCCCCCTCCCGGTGCGTGTCGCATCAGTTCGGCTGGTTTATAAACACGAATATTGGGCTGTTTCAAATCTGTCATCGCTTGCAATCTGACTCGGTCATCTCCGATAATATCAGCATTCGTTTGGTGACTTTGTTTTTTTCCACCAACACATTCAGGTTGTTGATCCCGGTGCGCATGAGGGGTACTGCCACAACGGGGTACCGGTTCCCGTTCCACCGGAATCCGTACTNTGGGGCAAACGATTGAACGCAAACATTCAATCGGACCAGGACAAACCGGATTTGTTAGTCCTGTTTTTCGACACAAAACGTACGTGGCAGTGGCTTTCACATCACAAATTGCAATTGCTCGGCACCGATTCCGAACTGGATCGCGAGCGGCTGAAAGAAGGAAAGCGAAGCAAGCTGAAACACTCGGTAAGTGGTGACACACTGACACCGGTCGTAGAATGCCATGGCTTATAGTAGTCAATTTCACCGCCGTCTACCTCATTAGCACGTCTATTCTATTGCGGGTCTTGTGTAGTTCACTAGTCCATATCTCTAGGTTTATGTTACGGGTTATCATGAGCGTGCAGTGAGTCCGAGCAGCTGTTGCCCATCATCCAATGATATGGGGTGAAAATGTGTTGCTAGTTTCTTTGTCAACTATTACAGTACAATAAAGCTCTTAGCACATAACTACCGCGGATCTGAGTTGGTAGATTTCGTCACGGGAGTCCACATGGGCTGAGTAACCGCGCGAGCCCGAACATGCAAGTCCGTGAGCAGTGCACTTGGCACCGATAGTCAATCAACACAACTTAACTTAGCGCCCATAAATTCGCATATCCCTTGATGAGGACATTCGTGTATCGTTTTCAGTAGTAATTGATTGATTTTCTTCAGCACCATGCAACGCTGCACTTGAAAATGGTCCATAGGAAACAGTTACCTATCCAAACTGATAAGTGTTTTGTTATCCCGCTCCATTCTTGATTGATATCGAGTCATTTGTTCAACGTGTTGGCCGTCGACCCATTTAAGAACTCAACGATTGAATCCCAACTGAGACGTCTATTGCATTAATAATGAGTCCCAAAAATGCGAAGCAGCTGCCCAGTGCTCTTTGTTAGTCATCATATGTAACGATTTCATCGAAGGTAAATAATCTCAAATTGACTCCATGGTTTTTCCTTGATCCCTGTAACACAGATCGATATTAAAAATGTGCTACTTCCCTTTTTAATTTATTGAATACACAAATGTACAATCAACTTTCAGGAAGGGAGCCGCGACCATACAAAGGCTGTCTGGAAAATACAGTCATAGGGCAGATGGGCACTGGTGGAGTAGTTTGAACCTGAGACTTCCGGGTCATTGTTGTAATAACCTTAACCACTTGACCGCCCATAGACTAATCACTGGTCTGATCTCTCGCTACGCTAATTTGTTTGCAACGGACATATTGAACATTGTCATTTATCTCATTTGTTTACAGGTCCTCAAAGCGTATCGTCGTGCAGTGGAACATCTGTGTAAAGTCCATGGTAAACCGTATCCCTATGTGGACAGTAGATCTTCACATGATTTAGCAGTGTTCACGTTATGATCTGTCGTATTTACGTGTGTATAAAGGATATCCTCACACCCTTGAGAGTACTACCTCCGTTCCAGCATCCGCCTAGGAAAGGCTCACGCAAGTGACTTGTACAAAGTTTCATTTTACTGCTGGATTTCCGTGCATTCCGCTAAACGCCGATCGCGCATGGTGCTACCTTCCCCAGCTGCCACACACCTTTATCCTCGCTCACCTGGTCGCATGTTCTCTCGCCTTTTCCGATATTTCTCACCCTCTGTTCTGTGTATTCAGCGTTCAGTTCGCACCCCATCCCTACTTACACAAACTCCCCCAAACAGATGTGTTTATCATGGACCCATTGTACCATAGATCTCCCGTGTTTAGACCACTTGATCCTGTATAGTCCCCCGAACTCCCACTGACCTACGTACAACGAGTGTGATCAGTAAGTTCAGTTTTCATACACTCAAATATGAATACATATATCTCTTTTGTATGCCTGTACTGCAATCTTCTCCAGACCGAACTAGGGAGTGGGATTCGTTGGGATGCGATACTGTCTGTGAATTAAAGTCAAGCTAGGTCCAGAAGCTGTGCACCCCTATCAGGGATGGATAAATTTTCGGCACTTAACTGCTAGTTGTCACAGTGAAGAAAAAAGCAAAAGCATGATGTTGCTAGTTTGCGTTCCATCTAATTTCATATCTGGGCTCGAAAATCACTGAGACCGACTGTGAGTAGTCTTGTAGATTAGATAGTAATACGTGGACGATAGTTCTTGTGCATGTGTTGATTTGTGTCGACTCCCAATTGGGGAATCGGATGTATTTTATCAATAAAAAGGATTTGTGACATATAACAACATGTGTTTTCAGGCTGTTTAGTCTTCCAATTTTAACGAATACATAAAAGTTTACTAGTCTCGGAAATGAGCTTCACGTCTCTGATTCAGATAGCATGGTCTTTGTGTCACAAATGAGCGAAAGTTACCGAAGAACACTATACTAAACGTGTCAAAATAAAAAGCGCGGTTAATTGTATTGATTTCCAGTAAAAACAACGAAACGATTTCTCCCATTCGGGATGAATGACAGAACGAACTTAGGGAAAAGGATTAGGAACTTCAGTTTGTCTATGAAGTGTATTCATTTTCTATACCTTTTTAACTTCAAGTGAATCCAACCAATCGCACTCCTTTGAAACCCCACAAGATGATTGGTGTTTCGGCCGTCAAACGTCACCGATTGGACCGGGTCCGAATGAACTCACCTCTCCGTGACAAAGAAAAGTACTTTTTGAGTGAGTTACCCAGCGAGGATGAATGTTACGAGTGGGGGGCTGAGGTGGGCCGTTCTCCCCCCCCCCCTCTCACACACCCGTTCCACCCGGGAACGTTATTTTTGTGATCTTTGATCGGGTGTGCGTCATAAATACGAATGAACGAGCCCGGAGTTAATTGACCTCTCTTAGTCGGGTAAAGAAGCGAATCACGTCAAGATGGATCGATTAGTCGGTCCTCATGCCCAGACGTGAATGTGAGCATGATTCATTGCATAAGTGGAGTCAGTCAAAGCCCTCAATAACCCAATGAGTAAATTCCATTGAGACCGAGTTTCTCTTGAATAAAACGAGTCCTTTGAATCAACTGCGATTGCTTACATATTTCTGACATTGAAATCCACACTTGACAGGATACTTAACAATGGTTTTCAGTGGTAAAACAAGTAACAGTATTTCACCTGAATAGTAAGATCAAATTCGTACCTATTCACTAGCTTACGGAAATCAAATTTTTCTATCATTCTGCTGCTTAATACATTCAATGCCAATGGCAACAATCTGTTATCTGCGGCTTCTCTTCGGCAATCAACTTCCTCGCATAGGTTATCTTTATTGAATCATTGCTCAACCCGTCGCAATTTTCACATACTGGTTACAGCTGTGCAATCATTTATAGCTTAGCGATTGAGTCAGGTGGTGCTATGAATGAGGTACAGTTATCCATGATTCCACAAGCGATGATAACTCCGAACTGGGTGTTCTATGAGGTATTAAGTAGAGGTCAGTAAAATATTCTACCCGTGGTTGTCTTAATACTGAATGTCGAATGTCTCCTCGTTTACTGTCTTTTTCTCACATTTTCATGTGTTATTTATTCTTGTCTAACATTTCTCATATCGTGTCCACTTCACACATGTTACCTGGCTTTACCCTACGCATTTATCCTGATCCGATAGCTTATTGTCCACTGAACATTTTGCACACATTCATTCACTGCCAGCCTAAGCAAATACAGCGTGGTATGGCTGACGACAGATGGGCATACTCAGTGCATGCCCTAACCAGCGAAGCCTACTAGTCTGAATTCGATGAGCTCGCAGGTTTATCCCTAATTGCAATAGTCACCTCCATCGTCTTATGCATGCTAAGTATCTCGTCAAGTGTGGATTTCAATGTCAGAAATATGTAAGCAATCGCAGTTGATTCAAAGGACTCGTTTTATTCAAGAGAAACTCGGTCTCAATGGAATTTACTCATTGGGTTATTGAGGGCTTTGACTGACTCCACTTATGCAATGAATCATGCTCACATTCACGTCTGGGCATGAGGACCGACTAATCGATCCATCTTGACGTGATTCGCTTCTTTACCCGACTAAGAGAGGTCAATTAACTCCGGGCTCGTTCATTCGTATTTATGACGCACACTCGATCAAAGATCACAAAAATAACGTTCCCGGGTGGAACGGGTGTGTGAGAGGGGGGGGGGGAGAACAGCCCACCTCAGCCCCCCACTCGTAACATTCATCCTCGCTGGGTAACTCACTCAAAAAGTACTTTTCTTTGTCACGGAGAGGTGAGTTCATTCGGACCCGGTCCAATCGGTGACGTTTGACGGCCGATACACCTATCATCTTGTGGGGCTCCTCAAACGTGTGAGGTCAAACAAATCACGGTATATTGACATTCATTAAAAGAAAAAAAGTTCCATGATTTGAATGTGTGCGAAATACTGCCAGGTTTCCCGGGTTAAGGCAGGTGAATTTTCTTAGAGAATTCACAACCGGATCCGTCGATTAGCCAAACCCTGACCCGCAAGGTCGTAGTGCATTGTGTGAGATGCTTGGTTGTGTAGGAGCATTTTGCGAGATGCAAGAGAAGGGTGACCGGCCACAACCCAAGACAACCACCCCCGGCAATGCGGATGTGTCAAGTCAAGTGAAGCTTTTTTCACCTGGCAGGATGGTTTTTCAGTAGTGTCCGCAAATTACAGTCAAGAAAGGCCGTACATCAAGCATTTAATAAATGACAAACAATTGGATATGATAAATAACTGATATGATTTTTCGACTTAGCAATGATAGCTGCCCGATTTACTAAGGTACGGGCAAAAAACGGATGGTGCTATTTGAGTGTGTGCACAAAAAGTCTATATTAGGAACGGATATGCGGAAGAGAGATGCGCGCGTAGGAAATGTTCTTCACTATAGCTGGTCTTTGCACCACTTGAAATCAACCTAAAACGGTCTGGGGATTGCCACTGCAACGGAGAAGTTTAAGAAAATGGAAAAGAAAGTAAAGTCTTACTCTCTTAGACCGGTGGGACATTACAAACGATGTGGAAAAATGCAGGCTGTCATAAATTTCTGAATTACATTTGGCGAACTTTTTAAGTTGCAGTAAACCGAGGAAGGTCTTCGAGGTGAGGGAAATCAATGTATTTAACTGAATTCAATTGGAAAGTGCTTTGAGTAATAAACAGAAAGCTGAGATTATTTTAACAAGTTAAGATATCGGGGGGGGGGCTGGATTACAGACTGATGGAAACATCAGCACACATGTCGANTGGCAAACACAAGGAAGTGAGTTGTGGTCCCGTCAGTGAGTTCAGTTCTGCTATCGTGGAGATAAGACGGGGGAGCGGAAGCTGTTTGAACTGGGGTGTGGGCAACCGATCACTTCAGCAGTATACTAGCTGCCAATCACGTTTCACATAATTTGAAGATTCATTAAACAAACCCGCTACTTCTGTGGCCTCTCTCCTGTATCGCGGTGAGGGAATATTCAAGCCAACCATGGCTAGTGCAATTGTGCTTCAGTTGCAGCTGTGATTCGTGCCTCTTCCGACCACTACAAAAATGCGAGTTGGCAAGATTACCTGAAGAAATCATGCAAATGTGACACAATAAAACGTTCCAATTGGCAAGTATTAATTCACCTCTGAAACACATGAGGCCGCTGTGTGGCTCACTTCATCCTCGTTCTGAATCAATAACACTACAACAGCGGGTAAATTTACAATCGAAGGAAACACTACTCATTAAAACAAGAGCGAGATTAATGATCGGGGCAACTACCGTACACATAACTTTCACCAGAGAAGTAAGAATATATCCTACGGTGGACAATGGAAGCCTGGAGTGTGAAGAAGCCGGTACCAGATATTTCAATTATTTTCGATTACACGCTTTCTCGTAGAGGTATTTTTTCAGCAAATTCCTCACTCATTCACTTGAGTACGATCTGATCTGACTCATCAACTGTGTCTTAATTTTGTGATGTGATTATTGCCAAAAGTAACCGTCGCAGATCATGTGATCGGCTTCATAATGCTATTGTGAATTAGGCAAAATATTTTCACTGAAATTCAGTAATTGGGTAGGGTACAAACTTTCCATGGAGGAATAAGTTGTGTAGGGATAGATAGGCGTTTCAAACTGGAAAAGGACTAAATGTGGACCGGAGAGAAGTCGATTTCTTCCGTAGATCAAGACTACATTAGGTTGCGTTTGTTTTTGCATTCTTCTGTAACTTAACACTAAGTAATTACAGTCGAAGCAACTAACGAAGTTAAAGTAATTATCATCAGTTCTGTTTATTTTGCCCTAAATAACCCAAGCGATTTTTGATACTAGATATGATATCGTACTTCTGACCAATATATGCCTGAGTTCCTAGAATTAATTCCACCGTTCATAGGACTGTACTTTAATCACCTGTAAATCGATTCGCTAGAGTCTACGGTGTGTA